ACAAGTTACGTAAGGAATACGGAACGGATTTCGTATAGATGATGTCATATGTTGTTCCATTTCGATGTGATCAATACAATCAAATTCCTTCTTTTCTACTATATTAGATACATTTACAAAGTGAGTGTTTAATTTTTCTATAATGTCCTGTTTGTCATTGGTGGTCGTGCCGTCATCACATTTAAGTTGAGTAGGGATAGGACCATGATCTGCACATTTTGACATGCTTTTAAGGTGTTTCCATAAAATAGCACTTGGCCTATTCTCTGATATTGCATTTTTGAACATATCCTTCTTTGCTTTTAAAATCATTGCACTGGTCTTATTTCTCCAAAATCTGTAACTTGCCCAATCTTTTCTTTTATGATAAGTATCTCTTAAATTCCTTGCATTTGTTATTTCTTCATTAAACCATTCAGGTTGTTTGTTTCTGTTGACTCTTTTTGACTTGATAGGAGCATGTTTGTTAAGAATTTTTATAATCAATTCACTAAGATATGACAGTGCATCATCAGGTTCAGTTTTCATCTAGATTTGATGCTGTTAATTCATTTACAAAATCATCATCCTTAACTTTTTTAAAACATCTATACTTGATAGTATTATGTACATGTGTTATCATGTTTCCTGCTTTGGTTGAGTTTTGGTATAATGTCATACAAACAGGAAAATGATCACTTGCTGCTATACAAGGGACATTCACATTAGAAACAATATCTGTGTTATTTACATATATATGATCAATAATGGTTGAGGAGGTATGAGTGACCCTATTGTGAATAGGGTCACTCATACCTCAGATTAAGATGTGAATGGCAGAGTATTATTTTCCTCAAAAAGGCTTATATTGTAATATAAATTATATATATTCTCGAAATATATCCATGCTCGGGATATACTGAGATTTATGATGTGTGTTAGATAGGGCGTTTATGATATGATCTCTAATCTTATAAACCAGTAATCTAAATCTTTTATTATGTCTGTGTCCACTGTGCCATACTCGGAGTCATTTATATTATCTGATCTAATTCCGTGATATAAATAAGCATGTGACGAAGTAAGAACCAGTTACTTTTTAGAATCAGACCTCATTATTCGAAATAATATATATATATAACTTTATATATAACACAGTCTGCCAATGATAACTGGTTTATCAGATTAGAGATCATCATTTATATTACAATGTAACTTAAATAATTCAATAATAGTTCTTAGCGTTGAACTGGAGTGAGAACACACAGTTATATTTCTAATTAGAACGTCCTTTTAACACAGTCTGCAGGCGCGTAGCTACCATGTAAGGTATATGTGACGTGGATGTAAATAAAATACTCGGATATATTATATAAAAAAAACCCATCTTATTACCTTCTGGATTTAGAATATATAAACACGGACTTATCTGATCTAATTCCGTGATATAAATAAGCATGTGACGCCGTAAGAACCAGTTACTTTTTAGAATCAGACCTCATTATTCGAAAGCATTATTATAAATGAGACCACGGACAGATAGTCTAATCTAATTCCGTGATGAGACACATTTTTTTCCAAATGAAAGGAGTCAACCACGAAATTAGATTAGTTATCTAAGTCCGTGAGTAGACTAACGAAAATTTCGGACTTTAACCAGTCTAACTATTAAGCGCCTTGGTGATAAACCTTTTACAAGCGCTGTTTTGACACTGAATTGCTATTTCAGTATTTGGGAAGGCCGGGGAATCCCCTTTGATAACACACTTCCTTGAAAATTTCCAAACAGGAATATGCCTTAGATAATTTGTTGATTTCCCCTGTAAAAATGGTGAAAGAACGAAATGCTGTGCGACCGGGACAGGAACATGATGACAAAACACAAACTGAAAACATTGTGTATTCTTCGGGTATGTATGGAGTAGTCGTAGGTTATCAAAACAAAATCTTATGATGGTAATATGACGTAGGTCTGTTAAATTTCACATTGTTAACGGCGTAGAGACGAAATGTTCCGTATGGGTGATTTCAAAATAAATTCTGTTTTGTTCTTGTATTGGCATAGATATGGTGACAGTGACGACAATTAAACAAAGAGGGATGGTGGTCGAGATCTTTATATTGCTGATGGATTCTAAAAAATACAATTCTTTAAAATAAATAACATTAAACATATCTAGATAAGATCATAGACAGGATTGGTGGTTACTTCCTGATATAAAAAAAAAGGTTTTTCATGTCAACAAAACCAGTTTCTTTTCCAATGTAACTTAAATAATTCAATAATAGTTCTTAGCGTTGAACTGGAGTGAGAACACACAGTTATATTTCTAATTAGAACGTCCTTTTAACACAGTCTGCAGGCGCGTAGCTACCATGTAAGCCAATAAGCCCGGGCTTGCACATGATTTTGACAAGTATAGGTTTTCATGACATTATTTTTTCTTGCTGATACTATAAAGTGGAGTTTAAGTTTTGAATATATAGTATACATATGTAATTCCTCAGATATGATACAGTGTTAATAGTTAGTACAAAAATGTATGAAGTTTAGAAATGTCCATTGCATTAATGGACAGTTCCAGGCGGAACTAAACTGCTCGATTGAGTAAATTGAGAAACTCACGCCTGGCGCAAACGACTCCGAGTATGGCACAGTGGACACAGACAATCAATGTG